TTATTATTGTTGTTTCAGCTCATTTCTTTCCAGCAGAATAAATTAAACACTGCCCCCTGCAGGCTACAGTTCTTACTGCAGCTGCTAAAACTATTTTAAAAAGATAAAAACAATAAATTTAAATAAATATAAATTTTAAATTCATCTGTAAATTTCTGATCTGAAACCTTTTTATATTTGATCTTTTCAGAGTCTCAAACAGAGACAAAGACTTCTTTAGTCTGGTTGTGAATTTGGGTCGGAGCAGCTAAATAAAGCGGATCAGAACCAGGACCACAGGTCCCTGCAGAGACACAGGAGGAAGAGGAGGATGACTCACTTCCAAGCTCAGGGATGAAGAAAAGAACCTTCAGGATTGTAAAACTTCCAGATTGTTTGAATAAATGTGTTTTTAATTCTTTTAATCCAGGATGAATTTATCAGATTATTGTATAATCTGTAATCTGATCTGAGGCTCACTGATACCAGGTCAGAACAAAGTGAGGGTTGGTTGWAAACTTTTGCACAGAACTCCACGACCCGGGTTACATCAGAACCCATCGATAAACCTGATCCAGCTGGTCCAGAAGGTCAGGGTGACCCGACCCGACCCGACCCGTCTGTCAGAACCCCAACAGGAAGAAGAGCAGCAGCTAAACTCTGGTTCATGCACCTTTGGTTCCCCTCAGAACCTGTCAGAACCGTCTCTGGTTCTGTCCCGGTCCTGGGACTAAAGGGACAGTTTGGATCATTATGAAGACCTCAGGAGGAACTGGGTCCGGATGATTCTGGGAGACAGAAGCGACCCAAGTATGGGTCAGAGTGAGCGCCTCGTTCTGAACTGACTTCCTCTGCTTCACCGCTCCAGAACCGACCCAACAGCTCATCCCAYCCTGTTAGAATCAACACTCAGGGCCCGGCGCCGAGGACCGGACCTGTTTGAGCAGCAGAACTACGTGATGCCTTCAGACTCGCCTGTCGGGTCAGATTTACTCAGATGGAGAGGAAACATGAGCAGCACGACCAAAGAGTCAGCAGAAACTTTCAAACCAAACGGGTCAGAATCAGAACCTGTGGTTTTGGTTCTTCTCCTGCAGGTGCTGAACAATCCGAGAGGAGAAAAAGTTTTTTCATTAAATCATTAAATCGTGTTTTTATCAAAGCTTCGGTGTTAAATCTAGAGAAGGAAGGGTCAGACTACTTCCTGAAACATGTCCTACAGAAAGCTCTGTGGTGGTGGGGACTACTTCCTGAAACAAGTCCTACAGAAAGCTCTGTGGTGGTGGGGACTACTTCCTGAAACAAGTCCTACAGAAAGCTCTGTGGT